CAGGGAACAGAAATTAGATTTGCAGAGTTGGACCGTCTAACTGCTGTCCTGTTTTGATTTCGTTTTTTAGAATTTAAAAACATTTTTGAGCTGGTGCGAGGAACACACACAGTCTCAATTGGCCTAAAATGTGAAAACCCTTGTTGTTGTTCTTTAGCTCCCAGAGTCAGACGGGAGTCAGCACAGTTCAGTGTTTGGACTGGTAATGCACTGCCAGACGGACAGGGAGCAGTGTTTGCACCGTTGTACTCACCCGGTGCTGGTGAGCAGGAGGCGGGGGAGTGCGGTGGGGTCCGAGGGGGCTCAGATGTAAAGAGTCACGCCCGCCTCGGGGAACGCTGAACAACATGACGCATGTAGTCCATCAACAGGCTGCTACCGTATCTGTTTGGGTGTAATCCGTCTGGACGATAGGCTTCGTAACGTTTCCAGAAAAGGGCAAAGTTATTCACAAAGACAAAGTTAAAAGAGCTGCATCAATCAATCAATCAATCAAATTTTATTTATAAAGCGCTTTTCATACAAAAAGTGTAACACAAAGTGCTTTACAGTTTAGTTAAAAACAATCCAACATGCCCAGCCCTAAACCCTCCTCCCCACAGACCCCCCAAAACAAAATTATAATTATATATACAATACACACACCCACACACACACACACACGCACACGCACACGCACACGCACACACACACACATATACACAAGTATAAAGTCATATCAGGTAAAATAGGTAAAACAATAAAAAGAAATGGGGCTGGGAGCAGATGTAACCGGCTGAAGAAGCGTCATCCAAGGAGCCATCTGCACCAGGAGCAGAGAGCCGGCTGCAGCCACAGGCAACGACACAGGACCCAGAGGAGAGAGGGGCCCCAGGCCCCACCAGGCCCAGGACTCAGACCCCATAGGACCCAGAGGAGAGAGGGGCCCCAGACCCCACCAGGCCCAGGACTCAGACCCCATAGGACCCAGAGGAGAGAGGGGCCCCAGACCCCACCAGGCCCAGGACTCAGACCCCATAGGACCCAGAGGAGAGAGGAGGCCCCAGACCCCACCAGGCCCAGGACTCAGACCCCATAGGACCCAGAGGAGAGAGGAGGCCCCAGACCCCCACCGGATCCAAGAGCCAGACCCCCGAAGCCACAGCAGACCCCAGCTCTCAGTGCAGAGGGCTCCTCCAGAGGAAACACTGGGGACACTAAAACAATACAATAATACAATAGAAAGTAGAACAATAAAATGTGAAAATACAAAGAAAAATGGCAGCTGCCTAATATTGATAATAACAATAGTAAATGGGTAGATACAATAAATAATTAAAAATAGTAAATAATAAAAATAAATAAAAATATAATCCGTCTAAAAACATAAATAGATGTACTAAAAAGCAATAATAGATAATAAATACTAATCAAAAGCTGCTCTAAAAAGGTGCGTCTTGAGCCTACTCTTAAAAACTCTGCATGTTGCCTGAAGCCACACATGCAGCGCCACAACACGACTGTAGAGACAGTCACCTCTGTTTACAGTCGGGATTGGACCAGAAATAAAAACAGATAATCCGGAGGATTGAAGGAGGTGGAACAGATCCATAAAATGTTTCTTAGTGACTTCTGACTGCTGAAGTTTCATGTTGTTAATTCCCACATGCACGACTACCTTGGAAACGGTATCAGGCAGGGACTGAAGCAGAGGAGGGAGACGTATGAGCAGGTCTGGTACAGTGGCTCCGGGAATACAGCGAGTGACCGCGTTAAAGAAGCGGACGTGTCTCACGATGGAATCTCCAATAATCAGAGTGGTCGGGGCGAAGAGTGGACGTGGACGCGGCCTCGGAGAAGGAGCTCGGTGGACGGAACCAGCGGGTTCACCCGAAGCAGGACCGGAGCCTGAGCGCCGCTGAACACATGGAGAGGAGGAGCGGGGGTGCTGACTCTCAGCTACAGGCGACCCACGCTGTGTGCTCGGGGACGCTGGAGCGGTGAGAGGGGCTGGCTCTGGGCGCTGCTGCTGACCCGGTGGAGGTGAGCGATGGTAATGATGGCTCGCTACCCCAGTCTGAGGCTGCTGCACTGGGGTCAAACAAGGGGAACAGGCCAACATGGCTGGTGGACCGCTCTTTCGCCTGAGGACTGCTTCCTTTAGGAGCGTTTTCCTCGTAGTGGACTTGGATCCTCGAGCAGTAGAGTTTGCTGCAGTGTCCAGGGATTCTGCTGAGGGGGCCGGGATGTCGGTGGAGAGGGCTGCATAGCGGTTTGCCAGACTCAGGACATGGGCCACGGCGCAGGATGGCTCCTCGGAATCCGCGGGCTCGTTATTCGGAACCGGGCGCTATTGTATTAAAAAATGACGTGTTCAAAATCCCTTATAAAGATGACCATGATTCAGGAAGTTAAATTCAAAAAGGTTTATTTCCCTAATACAAAAAGAATCTAAAACAGCTGTTCGGACCAAAAGTAACTATCCCTTATTCTCTATATAAAATATAAAAGTATGATTTTGGTGGGCGCTCCACGCAAATCACACTCCTGTCCCTGGCCGGTCTAGACTAACACAAGCATGAGGTTATTATAAGTAAATGTGCATGAAGAAGAAGGGGGCGTGTCGTATCAGTCAGCTCTTGGTCCAGGGTCCGGCCTCCATCAGGTCTTCTCCGTCTCGCCAGACCTAAACAGAAATCATTCACGCACTACCCCTCCCTAATTCTATCGATTTATTAGTTCCTTTGAGATAAGGCAGAGGGATCTCAAGGCTTCTCCTCCAGATTCTGGACTCCATCTCCTTCTTTCACAACTTGAAAGGATTAGCAGAATCCCCCCAGATTAACTATCATTAACTCACCCATGCACTTTGGACAAAATGGGACAAGGGGAGTTGGGCAATACAAGGTCTTTCTTTTTGCTTGGAGACAGACAGAGTTCAATTTCAGGTCAATCTAATTCACATCGCCTTTTAGCCTATATTTAATACAACAGTCCCCTCTTTTGGCCGCTATTAAAAAAGGCCACACATTTCAATAACCTTCCTCAGGCGACGGGACGGGGCAATCCTCAACCAATGCAAGCATTTGACCTCTCAGTCCAGGGTTAACAGCGGTGTCTATAGCTTTAACACAAAGAGAACGTATACAAGGTATACAGCAGCATCCTACAACCATTATTATTGCAAAGATGGCCGCAAGGCTTGTGATAACAGACAAAATTACATGCTTCCACTTCCCCAAGATGCTGTCCAGCCACGCCTCCATTGAGTGAGTGGAAACAGGTGTAATTGCTTTTCCTGTGGGAAAACATAGGGGGCTGAATTTCTGAATCCAATTCTGGAAACAATACTTCAAACATTGAACAGTTGCTAGGGACTGTCTTTGTCTCCTCAGTCAGGTCCTTTTCTTGCCAAAACAACTTTATCATACAATTATAACCATCTACATCTTCTGGGAAAAGTGGAGCAGGGGCTGTATACAAAGTGGGACGTGCAGTGGAACACACAACACAATCGTCAAAGCCAGCAGCCGCTGACATGTGCTCCACTGTCCACAACCAAGCGTTTCTATCCCCATATCCAGTTGCTTGTTTTAACAATTCAGAAACAGTCCAGTCAGCCGTCACCTGTACGTTCTGTTTGTCCTGCCATACTTCACTATCTATGGCCTCCTTGTCTAGCTCCTTGTCCTCGGGTAGGGCAATTGAAATCCATTGTCTAATGTCTCCTGGATAATGTCCAATAACGTAAGTCCCATTCACATCAATCCCACAATTTTTCACAGTGACTAGCACCGTTGTTTGTGAGTGGTCTGTAGTCAGAATCACTCGTCCCTTCAATTTGTGTTCATTATTATAACCCCAATCAGGACCTGTATTGGATATAACATACTCCCAAGCATCACAGGTGCAGTCCACCGATGCTCTAAAGCTTTTTCCATGTCTCTCATATTTACATGTTGACGGTGTGTAACACAGGTAGAGTGTGAAGTCAGGTCGAAAGGATAATGGAAAGATTGTTGCCATTGGTATGTGGGCTGTAATTGTCGCACCCACCGGGCATTTTACTGTCACAGTCGTAGGTAGGGAGTCTCTAACGCTGCCTTCTCCTATGGATCTTTTATTTCTGTCAGTCTTATTGGACCAAAGACTGGATTGTGTTACAAGTCTGGCCCTGTCTCTTAGCTGTGTGTTTTCTAACACTTCCCATGTTAAAATTCCCAGGACCACGACCAAACCAACTGCAGCGATAGCCCATAGGATGGCTCTCCCTCTTTTGGTCGTGGGCCAGGGCTCCCTGTCCCAAGGCAACATATTAAGAGCGAGTGTAAGCGTGTGTGTGAGTCCCTGTCCAACCCGTGAGCGTGGTTACGAGGGTGGGTCAGATGGTCTCGTATGAGAGAGATGAAACCACTTGTTCCCGTGTCCCTTCAGTTGAACAGCTTTGCGAGTGCGGGCCACCACTTCAAAGGGTCCGGTCCAGCGGGGCTCGTTCCACTTCCTTTTGAACACCTTCACACGGACCCAGGCAGGTGTATCCTCCGAGGCCTCCTTCTCGCAGAGGTCGAGACTTCCTTCAACCTGATGGGAAAAACTAGACAACATTTCTCTCAATTGTTCCCAGTACACCCGCACTGGGGGTGTTGGGGAGTCGTCTTTCGTGAAAGGCACCACCCTGTTTCCTGGTCCTGGCATAGGCCTCCCTGTTAACAGCTCGTATGGGGAGAAATGGTGAATGCGGTTAACAGAGTGCCTTGCTGACAACAGGGCAATAGGCAATGCCTGTAGCCAATTCAATTTACTCGTTGCCAGGATTTTAGAGAGTTTACTTTTCAAGGTCTGATTCATCCTTTCAACTCGGCCCTGGGATTGAGGATGGTAGACCGTTCCAAATTTATGTTTTAGCCCCAGATGTTTTTCTACCAATTGCAAGTGTTTGTTCCTGAAATGCGTCCCATTGTCAGACCTTATTAACTGGGGAAAGCCATGCGTTGGGATGTAATGCTGAATTAAGGCTTTGATTACAGAGGCAGCATCCTCTTTTGCAGCAGGATATGCCTCAGGCCATCCCGTAAAGGTGTCAGTGATGACCAACAGGTACCGCTTTCCTGCGCACCTGTTAATCATATCTGTGAAGTCCATCACAACATGTGCCCCAGGCCAAGCAGCAGGTGTGAATTTTCCTGGGGAAACAGCTGAGCAGGGCGATGGGTTATAATTCTGACATATTTGACAGGACCTAGTATAATCTTGGATCATGTTTGTCTTAAAGGGATGCCACCATTGTGACATATTCCTGAGCATCTGTACCTGACCCACATGGGCTAGCCCATGTGCCTCAGATAAAGCCGCTCGTGAGAGGTCCCCCATGGGCAGGGCGGGGCGGCCATCAGGGCCGTACCAGATGCCAGTATCTGGATCCTTCTTTGCCCGTTTTTGAACCCACATGGATATTTCTTCAGGAGCTGCTTTTGTTTGGGCTTCAGCTAAAACCTGAAGGGACAGATCGGGCAGGCAGTCTGCCAGGTCTGGCCCCTCGTCCCGTACCACAAACACTCCTGGAGTACTGACCTTGTAGTTGGCAGCTTTCTTTGCGGCCTCATCCGCCGCCTCGTTTCCCCTGGCCTCAAAGTTGTCTGACTTGGAGTGCCCTTGGCACTTGATGACGCTTACCTGTTTTGGAAGCTGGAGAGCGCTGTCCAGCCTCTCCACCAGGGCTCTATGTGTGATGGGTCGGCCTTTAGCAGTCAAGAAGCCGTTTCTTTTCCACTCGGAGAGGTTGAAATGGACAGCCTGAGTAGCATACGCAGAGTCGGAGTAAATATTTACAGATTTACCTTTAGCAAACTCCAAGGCGGCGCAGAGAGCCTCTAGTTCTGCCGCCTGCGCTGATGGTTTGTCAGTTAAAACACCGCTGTTTACTGTAACAAAATTTTCACCGTTAACACTGACAACTGCATATGCCGCTCTCAGGCTGCCATTCCTCTCTCTCCAGCAACACCCATCTGTGAAAAGCTGTAAGTCGGGGTCCTGAAGTGGGTCAGTCTGGAGGTCAGGTCGCACTTTCAGACTGTCTATTACCCTTACACTGCAGTCATGCGGCTCACCCTGTCTTGGCATGTGGTCAGCCATGTTAATGCCAAGAGGTGTAAAAGTTATGTGGGGCTGAGTGAGCACCTGTAAGAGCCGTGACTGTCTCAAAGGTGACATAGTGAATGCAGCTGAGGACACATATGCACAAACGCCATGATCAGTCAATATTTCTAAAGCATGCCCCATGACTAAATGTGCTGTTTTCTTAATCAAATGTCCCACTCCTGCAGCATACCTAGAACAGTCAACCTGTCTAGCCTCGATTGAATCCAATGGAACGCTAATATACTGTAAGATTTTTCTCTGGCCTCTGCACTTTTGATATAACACCCCGTTAGCTACCTGAGACTGCACTGTGGCATCTAAATAAAACGGGAGAGCATAATCTGGTGAAGCCAAATGAGCCGCAGAGGATAGGTCCTGTTTGAGTGAGATAAACTGTGCCTCACTATCTCTGTCCCAATTCAGTTTAGCCCTTGTGTTTCTCATGCCATGTTCATTAACTAAAGCTCTTAAAGGTTTAGTTTTGTCTGCAAAATCTGCCACATAGTGTCTGCTATAGCCTATCAGACCCAGGAAGGACAACATGTCCCCCACCATGGTGGGTCTGGGATATGACAAAATAGCATCTCTGTGCTCTGGAGACATATTTGTGGATCCTCCAGACACACTACGTCCCAGGAAGGTCACCGCAGGCCTGCAACATTGTAGCTTTTCCTTACTGACCTTAAATCCTTTTGAATGTAAGAAGACTATAGTGTCCCTAGTGGCTTGTAGACAGGCCTGCTCCGTTCTCGAGGCGAGGAGGAGATCGTCCACATACTGTAGGAGTACCACGCCCTCCGGAAGCACCAACTCTCTCAGCAGAGCGTTCAAAGTCTGATTAAAAATGCCCGGGGAGCATTTATGTCCCTGGGGAAGACGGGTGTAACGCAGTTTTTGGCCCCTGTGAGTAAATGAGAAGAAATCTCTGCTTTCCTCTGCCAGGGGAATACAGAAAAATGCATTAGCCAAATCCATAACAGTAAAATACTGGAGGTCTGGTGACAGTGATGACAGCATTGTATAAGGGTTTGGGACCGGGAGACACTGAGTTAATGTTAAATCATTTATTTTTCTCAAATCATGGACCATTCTATATTTATTCTGACCTGTTTTTGGCACAGCTAGAGTGGGCGTGTTCCACTCTGATTTTGATGGCTCGAGGACTCCCACTTTCGTAAGTCCCTCTATCACCTGTGAGATACCCTCGACAGCGTCTGGTTTGGCGGCATACTGCTTTATGCGAATCGGGCCTCCTGGCTTCATCTGTAAAGACACAGGAGGGAAAGAGGTGCACAACCCCACGTCCGTGGGACCTTGGGACCAAACTTCTGCAGGCACCTGTTTCAATATTTCATGCGTATCATCATGATCTGTCATGTGTCTACCATGATGTCTGGTCAATGTTTCGTGCTCCACTTCCCCTGTGTCTATCATATTTGCTTTTATCCTGTATGACTTATTTTCAATGCTGTACTGCACATGAGGGAGTTGGGTGTCAGACCAATCGTCAGCTTTTAGCAGTCTCTTTACCATTGGACCTAAAGCTCTAGCCTCGTGACCAGGGTGTACAGCCAAGGTGATGTGTGGGACAGCAGAGGAAGACATGTAATACCACTCACACTGTTCAGGAAGCAGCCGTGTATGGGCCGCCACACCCTCAGGCCCAATATAAATGTAATCTGATTCTAATGTCCACCTATCACTTTCAATTTGTTTGAATTGTTCTCTGTACATTAAGTCTTGGTCTCTGTCATAGAATAATGTCAAGTGGGCAGGGTCCAGTGGGAGGTGGTAGGAGGCCAAAGAATTTATCCAGGGTTTCCACTTGAAGAAGACGGAATGCACACCATTATTGTCCGTGGACTTGTTTTCTGGGTCCAGTCTCACCCAGTATATGTCTGCATACTGGTCTGGCATCTCTTCTCTCAGAAGCCAGCAGGAGTCCATCGATACACCGGTCACACATCTGTAAATTTGTCCCCCTGGAAAAGTCACTTGTAGACCATCCGGTCCACATAGAATTGACGCATTGGTTTTAGTCAATAAGTCTCTTCCCAGCAGGTTGACAGGTGTTTTAGGAGCATTTACAAAAGAATGCCACAGTGTCTGTGTTCCAATTTGTGTCTTTAAACGTTTAGTGAGTGGCAGTACCTCAGGTGTCCCAGAAAATCCAACCAGGGTGATGTGCTCCTCAGAGAGCAAGACAGGGCGTATCTTTGTATTGATGGTAGAGTAGGTGGCGCCAGTGTCCACCAGGGCCATCAGGTTGTCGTCCTCCACCCTTATGGGGAGCATAGGCTCTGCTGGTACCTTGTCCCCTGGATTTCCTAGGCAGCCCTAGTAAGATTTTTCATGTTCATACTCGCCCCAGTAGTTCCCATGCTGGAAATATTGTCCATCTCTCGGGGCCAGGTTGTCATTCGGAGCCGTCCATGGGGAGGGAGGGCCTGCGCGCTCTGGTCTGGGTCCCATGCCTCTCTGGGGGCCCCTCCCACGCACCATCTCAGGCGCTCCATGGTAGTAGGAGGCCTCTCCTTCAAAGGGGCAGTCCCTCGCCCAGTGACCGTGCCTGTAACAGAGGTGACACACATCCCTGCCCCCTTTCCAGCTTCCACCCCTTCTTCCTCCCCGGCCCCCACGCCCACCACCTCTGGCCCCTCCCCTTGTCCAGTCCTGTCGTGGTGGAGTGGGAAGTCCAGCAGGCATATTAGTCATCTGATTACTGGTTCCTTTTTTATTTTGTGTGGCTTTATTTCTCGCTTCACTAAGCTGTAACTTCAAAAGTTGACAAGTCATATCTTCAACACTCTTTCTTTCTTTAGTTTTATTTTCAACATATCGCTTAATGTGAAAGATTAAATTTGTTTTCCACTGTGCTGAATCCGGGTTAATATTATCTGGGTTGTCTTCAATCTTTGAGCGTATTGTTTCTGGTAAACCATTCAAAATAGCTGCTCTAAAAGGCATGACTTCACTGACCTTGTGAGGGTGTCTTCCTACTGTGTCCATCCACTTGGTCACACTCCTGTCATAAAATACAATTGGGTCCTCAGACTCCAGCCAAGTTAACTCACGAGGGGCAGAAGACAGCGGGGTTGGAAAGTTCTCCCTCAGTGCTTCATACCAGGCATTTGCATACTGGCCAAATCTGGAAGAATCACAAACATCAGCAGTACCAGCTTGTCTTTCAATAGCATCTCTCTCCCATGGTTTACTGCATGCTGCCATCACTGCCCGGACGTCACCCATCGCGACATCATGACCTGTAAACCATGTGTTCAGACTGGAAATCCAGTTTCCAGCTCCCTGACACAATGGAGGCATTTTGTCTTTTATAGTCTGCATGTCACTTACAGAAAAAGGATGGTACTCCCCAGCTGCGCCTCGTCCTGGTCTCAGAGGGAACATGGATTTTGTCTGAGACCTGGTTCTGCTTGCCACCGGTCTAGTTCCTCCAGGCTCCTGGTCTCCGTCATCACTACTGTCAGAAGAGAATTTAGCCCCTTTTTTAGCCTGTTTAGCTTTAAGTATTGGCTGGGCCATGGCACCGTCTCCCTTTTCATTTTCACTGTCCGTCCTAGTCATGGCTCTGCGTGCGGCTTTATTAATTAATTTTGCATTCTCCTGTCTAGCGGTCTCGTAATCATGGGTCCTACTTGGGGTTTCTTCTCCCTCAACTCTGTCTGTGGTGCATTCAGAGGTCGGTTTCCTAGCTCTAATATTTCTGAGAGAGTGCAGGAGCAGCTCCTGCACCTCTTGGATGGGTGGGGGTTGGTGAGGGGTGTGTGGGAGCTGTGGCGGGAGGCTGACAGCTGGATTTTGACTCGGATCTCTATTGTCCCCCACAGACTCCTGTTCTGTCCCTTCGTCAAATTCACTGTCTACAAAGTCATTGTCCCCTCTCTTTCCTACCGCCACTTCTCCTGAAAATGTATATTGTGGCAATATTAGATTTGGCTTACCTGGTTCTAAACCTAGAGAATATTTTGGTGGAGCCGTGGGTAGGGATGGGTATATATTACTCACCGGCATTGCTCCGTTTTCTGTTTCCTTGTCTTTACTTACCATCGGTAATTTTGCCAACGCCGTGGCAGCCAAAGCAAAATTATGTACCTTGGTCCTCAGTTTCTCAGCCTTTTTTAGTTCCTTCTTAATTTTCCTACACTCATTCCAACTCTTTCCCTGCTTTCCCTCAAGCTCTTTTAAATCCTGTTTTAGATTATTTTCCTCTTCCCGCAATATCCTAGCTAATGCGGACGCTGTCATATACTCAGGTATGACCCTTTTGTTCTGTATTTTTTCCCATGCTTTCACAGCCTTTCGTTTTGCCTTGTTCCTATATTTTTTATCCAGACCACTCAGAATCTGAGCCTCTATTTCTCTATATAGCTGCTCGATTGGAATGCCTGTCTCCATTTTTCGGGGGGGGCCCAAAATTCCCCCAGGTTCCAATGGGTTAAACCTAACTTGTGTGTTGACGCGTCCGTCAACCACGCTAGTCACAGCGGGCTTTCCTGTTTCTGGCAAGGCTTCTCAAAAAATCTTTACTTTTAATATATTCTCGCAGGGTTCTAGCTACTTAGACTCCTATTTTATTTAATTTTAACGTATTTTCGCAAGGCTCTCACTACTTTTTAGGCTTTTACTATTTTTACTTTTGAATTAGCTCCTCCGTGGACAAAACTTCTCTCCCCTTAATTTGTGTAGTCCAATATGCAGATTTTTAATTAGTCAAAAGGTATCTGCTTACCTTCAAATCAGCGGCCGCTTTGAGGAGAGATGCAGAGTCCAAGGGAGAGGTTGAAAGTCATCAAAGGGATCACGTCGAGGGTCACCAATTATTGTATTAAAAAATGACGTGTTCAAAATCCCTTATAAAGATGACCATGATTCAGGAAGTTAAATTCAAAAAGGTTTATTTCCCTAATACAAAAAGAATCTAAAACAGCTGTTCGGACCAAAAGTAACTATCCCTTATTCTCTATATAAAATATAAAAGTATGATTTTGGTGGGCGCTCCACGCAAATCACACTCCTGTCCCTGGTCCGGTCTAGACTAACACAAGCATGAGGTTATTATAAGTAAATGTGCATGAAGAAGAAGGGGGCGTGTCGTATCAGTCAGCTCTTGGTCCAGGGTCCGGCCTCCATCAGGTCTTCTCCGTCTCGCCAGACCTAAACAGAAATCATTCACGCACTACCCCTCCCTAATTCTATCGATTTATTAGTTCCTTTGAGATAAGGCAGAGGGATCTCAAGGCTTCTCCTCCAGATTCTGGACTCCATCTCCTTCTTTCACAACTTGAAAGGATTAGCAGAATCCCCCCAGATTAACTATCATTAACTCACCCATGCACTTTGGACAAAATGGGACAAGGGGAGTTGGGCAATACAAGGTCTTTCTTTTTGCTTGGAGACAGACAGAGTTCAATTTCAGGTCAATCTAATTCACATCGCCTTTTAGCCTATATTTAATACAACAGCGCTTAGGTGTAGAACAGGAGGGTCCGGAGCTGACGGATCTCTCCCACACGACAGTGTCACAATATGCAGCGCTCAGTGACATCAGCCGTGAGTGCTGCCCACCAGCGACTTCAAAAAGTTTGGACACTAGAGATTGTTTCTCATTCAACTCTGCGGTGAGACGAAGGACTTCTTTTCGTAGATCTGCAATGGTGGCACGGTCGCTCTCACGGAGCTCCAAGGTGAGGCGACTAATATTGTGCATGTTTGAGCCAATTTCATTGTCACTTTCCATGTCCTCGTTAGCTTGTGTTAGCCTCTGTGCTACTAGTGGGTTTCAGTCGGGACTAAGCGCTATTTGCTGAAACCACTGAATTAATAAGATAAAACACTCAGATATATTAAAAAACTGAACAGTAAAAACGCGCTAAAAAGTTGTTAAAAGTTTACTAAAAAGGTGCACAGAGCAACCCTGCAGAACGGCCTGGGGAGCAACTATATTCTATACGTTGGCATCAGTCTTTTCTCACACTATTAACCACACTTATGATAGCGGCGTCCAGTGGCGAGAATAGCCCTGTTTGATGCAATATTATGTTAGAATATTGCATCAAACTCGTACTTTACGGCGTTTAAGGCGTGTTTTGATTACTTTTTTTGATACGAATGCCCACGCGGCCATATTTGTTTTGAACAGAATCCAGACTCCGTCTGAATGAATGAGATCTGTTGCGCAACATTATTCTGAACCACTTGATAATTGAATTGGATTGAGTACCTAGAGTACAATCTACATTTAAAGTGCACTTTACATTGAATACACACTTTACATTGAATACACAGTTATATTCACAATGTAATACTTGAATGAAGCTTCATATTTATTTTTTCTACTTTACTATGCTGTTCATATTGAATGTATTTGATGTACTGCTAGTCTTTTAGCTTTCAATCTACTATTTAAGTATTTATGTTGTACCTGTTTAAAGTACTGCTAACTCTGGTACTTACCTAATGGGGTATTTTTTTCCTGACTTGTGTTTTAGGTCAGGTTTTTTTTGTGTGTACCTCCTTTGACCCCTCTTCGATGGCGAGCTACCCAACCCCCGCTGTATCGTGGTAGGACACCTTTTGTTTTCCGAAACCTGGATATGTGAACTTTCCAAGAAATCTGGAACCTTTAATGAACTAAACTCTAACGAGGAATATTGAACTGTGAAACCAAGACCTGATGAACATTTGTTTTGTTTTTTGTCTTAAGATTTGGACTGACTCTTTGATTTTGCATTTGGGATGCATGAGGATACACTTTGTCTGGTTTTGGGCACTAAGGGGTCTTTGGAGATAAGTAGTTTGGAAGCATCCCTGGGCCGTTCCAGGTTGAATAATAGCATTGTGCCTCTGGGTCCCCGCAGTGTTTTGGGTCCCCATATGTCTGTGTGCATTCAGGTGGACGTCCCCATATGTCACCGTTTATATACACACAAACACACACGCACACGAGCAAAGTTGCCCTCAGTCTGCAGTTTTAGTTAAAGAAAGGATTTACTAAATAATTGCTTTGCAAAATGACACTCAACTTACGTTTAGGACGTAAATAAACCACACGGTTTACGGCAAATAATACAGTCGCTAACCCACGGGTGCAGCATGAAACATAACATCTGCAACATGGGACAATTACTTGAAAACACAGAGGGCTTCAACTTCTTCAGGGGACTTGCAAAGTACATCCTTACCGCGAATGTTGACCCGAAGAACGGCTGGATACAGCTTTCTCTTCACAGAATCCAGCACTAAAGTCCAGATAAATGTGGATTTTAGATCCCTTG